GATTGCTGTCCCAATCTTCTGCAGCCATTTTGGCTGCTTCTCTTGTAGCAGGCAAAAAGAGCTTTTTCCTGGATCAATCAGAGGCTTTGTGATGCCCCTGAGATCAGCAGGACGTGCCCTTCTCTATCACCATTCCTTCAGAACGATTTAGATCCAAAAGGATCATCCAGCAACAGAGATATCGACAGCAATCCTGGAGCGCCAAGATTGCATGTCGTGTCATAGCAACGTCAGGCCTCCGAGTTGCAGGAAAGAGCAATACAGAGAAATTTTAAGGACACAGAGTGGTGTTCTTGAATTGTTTAGTTATGAAGGTAGCTTAAAGGCATGTCTGGGTGTCCAGTCTTTCACTGTCCTGTTCTTCCCTAGTTCTCCATGTTTCGATTAAATCTCAAAACAAGACATCAGGAAGACACTTCCTGACTCAATCGTAGCATTGATTGAAGGGGAGAAAGGTGGTCCTCTCCCTGAGAAATTCTTGGAAAATTTATTCTTTCCTTGAAGAAATCATTCATCCAACTCATGTATCTATAATTCTGGAATTTTAAAAAAGTTATTTATTGCTATTTGGCCGTAATAAAAAAAAATCTTACCATCTATCAAGTCTCTACTCTCCCTCTTATTTAATCAAGCAGTGCTGCTGAGAATGGTTTTATTGTTTTCTGTTCAGCTATCTCGGGAGAGAAAGGGAGTTAAGATACCACTGATGCTACAAGAATTATTTAATAAAAAACCAACAGCAGTGCTACTGATCTAGAATATTATAATGTGCTCTTGTAATTTTTTTAACCAATCAAGTTTCTATCACAGTTGTGGATACATTTAAATATCTATAAAGGTAGTACTTTAGTAACCACACTTGGGGCTGGCCAGTTGGTTGTTAAGCCAAATAGTCACCAAGTGAAATCTTGACTGTTCTTATGATCTTACTTCAGCTTTACTTTGCTTTATAGACCTGCAAAGGTCACACCTGCAAGAATTATTTGTAAAATTATTTTTTCATTACTGTTATAACTACAAAAATTTGCAAATGAGGGACTGGTTAAAGGAAGACTATCTGAGTTCTGTTGGGGAGAATAACAGTTTTAGATACAAATGTTACATACTAAAATGTTTCCATGTATTTCTCTGTTCCTGATAGATGGATTAGATATACATCTTGAAAACTTCTAGATATTGCCTCTTGCTATCACTGAGCACCAGGGTGTGGGTAGTTCCTAAAGCCAATGTATTGCATGTAGTCAACTAAAGCAGGGGTCTCCAACTTTAGCAACTTTAAGACTTGTGGACTTCAATTCCCAGAATTCCTCAGCCAGGAAATTCCTGGCTGAGGAATTCTGGGAGTTGAAGTCCACAAGTCTTAAAGTTGCCAAAGTTGGAGACACCTGATCTAAAGTGCAAAGGTTCATGCATTCAGTTCCAAGTTGAGTGTTTCAACCCATAGAATTTGGCAAATGCATCTGAAAAGTCCCAGTAAAGGAGGAAACTGGTCACATGGGGCTTCCTGGTGGTCAGTGTAACTGGATAGCTTGGAATGATTTATTTACAAGAAACCAGGACTTGTGGGTCTCCATGGCAACAAAAGTGCTATCTGATTCCCAGCTAATACATTGGAGTTCATAAATAATTGGATAATTCTGTCTTTTCTTACAGGACTGTATGTACTGATAGGAGCAGGAGTGCTGATGATGGCAGTAGGATTTTTTGGATGCTGTGGAGCAGCACGAGAGTCTCAGTGCCTGCTTGGAGCAGTAAGTAATGGACATGTAGAAAAGGGGATATGAGGCCTCTCTCCAATGCGAAATCATTAAGTCAAACATTAGTTAAAATCCTCTGCTAAATAGCAGTAATAGCAGTAGACTTATATACCGCTTCTAAGCAGTTTACAGAGAGTCAGCATATTGCCCCCAACAATCTGGGTCCTCATTTTACCCACCTCGGAAGGATGGAAGGCTGAGTCAACCCTGAGCCGGTGAGATTTGAACCGCTGAACTGCTGATCTAGCAGTAGCCTGCAGTGCTGCATTTAACCACTGCGCCACCTTGGCTCTTTCTAAAGTATATGTATTTTGCTTTACTCCAAGTCCAAAACAGAGAAGTCTGTTTTTAAATTCAAATATCAAACTGTAAATTAAGATAGCAGTTAGCAGACTGGTATTAAAAACAGAACTATTTCTGACATAACAGAGAGCGGATCAAAGCTGCATAAAAGGAAAAGAGACTTTTAAAAAGAGTGGGTGGATCTAACATCATATCCAGTGAAATAAATTACAATTTATTAAGCCAGGACACCTGTTGAAATCAATCTGCTGTACATTGGAAGAAAGAGGAAGGTGGATAGTGTAAAACTTTTCTTTAAACTCAGTAACTTGCAGGTTCCTTTATTATCTACCCGTAATGACCCTTAAATCCTAGTCAGGACATATTTCTATCTAAGTGATTATAAGAATTCATGAAGCATTAATTTGCAATTCTGTATTCATTTATTAGAATGCAGCCTCTTTCGATGTTGTGAGATTTACCACTAGAGCAAAACATAAACAGAATTCTATTGCAAAGGCTTTGGATATGTTGCAGTGTTAGAAATGCTTCTTTGATATTTCTTTATCCCATCCTTTCCTTAAAGTGTGAAATTATTCTGATTTAAGGAAAGTTGAGGTAGAACCTTCCCTTTTTGCATCATTACTCTTGTCCTATATAAAGTATTTCTGTTATTAAAACTATTTCAAATTCCCAGAGAGTGGATTTACATGTTGCATTCAAGTTTCCATAAAAATTTAATCTGTAATCTTATCTTCATTCTTTTGTAGTTTTTTACTTGCTTGCTGGTGATTTTTGCTGCTGAAATTGCTGCAGGGGTGTTTGCTTTTCTGGGCAAAAAAACGGTAAGTGAAATACTTATTGTGTACTACCATAAATATCTTTAACTGAAAAATAGCTTAAATGAGTAAAATCTCTTTAAAATTATGCACAACCTCTAGTTGATTTGGGTGTGTCTTGGCAAATATACAGAAAGAGTTTTTATTGTTTTCTTTGGAGAACATTTTTCTTTACTGCCTAAGCTGATATTTCCTAACTGCATATTCTGTCATTGGTGTGGCAATGTTTTTTATTGCCCAACCTGCCCAGACAATTTCCTTTTGCACCCTATAAGCTATGCGCATCAATCAGTCATGTTGCCAAAAGCCAAAGCCTAGAGCTTGCTTTCTTGTGCTTCCCAAATTGCTACGGGTTCAACCTTCAACTATTTCTATAGAAATAGTTGAAGGTTGACGTATACAGAAATATACGTCTATTTCTGTAAATAGATAAAACTTTATACCTTAAAGTTGACTGTGTTCCTCTTTGTTGCTACCACATTCTCAAGTGAAATCCATGGGTTTCCTGTTACTGAAATTCTGCTGGTTTCTTCACTGCTCTTCATATCTAATTAGAATGTCTACTTGTTGTGGTTGCTATCTCTGCAGGCTGTCAACGAAGTCCAAGCTATCTATGAGAAAGCTTATGAAAACTACATCAATGATCAAAGCAAAAATAAAACACTCATCAAATTTCATGATGCGGTGAGTAATATAAATTCAGAAATTTTGCTCACTAATGTTGCATTTTAGGTGGTTTCAGAATACCATGATTGGACAATGAGTCCAATGATACAGTTTGCATAATGTTTGTCTTTTCCCTTCTTCTGGAATTATTATTCTTATTGAAATCAAGCAAGATTCTATATGGCACCCAATTGGTCATCCTTTCTGTGGATTCTTAACATACTATAATAGTCAGCAACCTCTCCAGGTTTTGGCACACACATTCTTCTAAAACTTCCTAAATACGGAAATTTCCTCTGGAAGACCATAGTAAAACATTAAAGTTTTATTAAATCACACGTGACATCTTGGAAGCATTGTGGGCATCATTAGCAGGAAGGCATAGTAAGAGTTCAGCCATAGAGGCTATATTTATTTATTATAGTCATCCTCAATTCAAGGTAGCATGTATAAAACTATTTCCACCGCCATTCTTTTTAAAAAAAAATATTTATTATAACTCTTTTGGTTTTTGCAAGACTATCTATACCAATATAGTCTGTTTTATTCAGGACTATGGTGAGATAAAGCATTGCCACATGTATTTCTGACATCAGTTGCTAAATTTACTTTTTCCTTAATAGGGCCTAGATCAATCTTTTCTAAAGTGTGGTCTATTGATCACAGTTTTTATAAAAGAAAAAAAATCCAAATGCTTATTGTCTTTCCCCTCTGTGGAGAACTGCTGGATACAATCTCCCAAACGCTCTTAATTGAGAGGCAAAGAGGAAAACCTTTCCCTGAAGTTTTTACTCAGAGTGTTGCTAAGCATTAAAAATTTACCTCAGCATGTGCAGTAGTCTATCCTCCATTTTGCATGTGTATAATATTTTTTTTTAAATAGGCCACAAACAAACAACACCGCAATGAATTTGCTTCCAGAATTAGATTTGGAGTTGAGCTGTTTCCCTTATTATTAAAAGAGGGCTCACATGCTTATTTTTAGTCATATTGTTACCGTTCGCTTACTTTATACCAGGCACATATGCACACACCTATATGAGAGCCAGTGTAGTATGGTAATTATGTGGCATTAGAAATATTGGGGTTCAAGGCCATCCTCAACATAGACACTAAGGGCCAGTTACAAACTCTCAGGAAAAGCCACCGCACAGGTTATTGTTGTGCAAGTAAAATCTGGAATCCTCCAGATTTGACAAAATATAAACAAAACAAACAAGGTAATAATGGGCAAAAAAATGAAAGGTGGTCCCATGTAGGCTGCCTTGAGTTCCAGAAGGAGGAGAAGGTGGAATAGGCAGATAGACAGATGGATGGATGGATGGACGGACAGATAGGAGGGAGGGAGGGAGGGAGGGAGGGAGGGGGATAGAGAGAGAGAGAGAGAGATCGAAGTTATAAGGTCACCCATCTCACAAGAAGTGAGATGTATGGGATACAGCAGAAAGGTATTAAAATAATAAATATATTAAATGCAGTCATATTTTTTTTAAAGAGCAGATCCAAAAGTTTTGATCAGCATTTTCAAATCTATCCAATGCAAGGATTAATATGAATAGAACTCTCAGTATTTATTTGAGTCTTAAATATGTGTCTTTCTTTCACCCAGTGAATCATTTATCCTGTCAGTTGATCTATGCCTCATTTCCTTGGTAGGTTTTCAGTCTTATTAACCACAGAAGCAGCTATAATGCCATGTTTAGAATAACTTTTTACTACACATGTGACCATTTATTGATCCTTCTTAGTTAGTTGTGATAAGTATATAAATCCATGGCAGAGGGCAAGACTTGGGGAAGGCCCAAGAGAGGCCACAGTTTGTTTCTTTTGTATGCTTAGCTGAGCTTGAGTTCTTAAGAGACTTTGTTAGAAACTGAACTTAATCCAATCCAACCACATTCTACTGCATAACACTGGACGGCCACTCAGCAGCTAATATTCAGGAAGAAACACAAATTCCTTTATTTCCAGTGCCATAAGATTTAAAATAACATGTTGCTTTGCCACAACTATATGTGGACAGTAGGTTAATGGATTCAAAAACAACAGACCCACAAATGAGATAGAAGCTGAGGTGGGGATTTTATTGGATAAAATAGACCAAAAGAAAAAAAAGTTTAATATACATGATATATTCACAGATAAAGCAATAAACAAAGAAAAAGTAACATTCGCTAGAAAAATGTTAATGCAGAAATTCATGTTCCTTCAGTTGTTGGGTGCACTGTCATTATCACAGCCAGTACTGAATGTTCCTCTATTATGTTGGCTAATGTATAGCACATTTCCTGGACAGTCCTGTGTAAAAGGTTATCCCTCTACTTTGACAAGTTTTTGATTGTTTATGCATACAGTTTATGCCTCTGTTGGCTATCAATTTATACAAGATGCTGGTAGCTCATGATTCAAACACTCCCAGAAGTGATTGAACCTCAAATTAGCAAAGCTGTTTTAAAAAGAAGAGATGTCCCTCTTGAGATGGCTCCATCAGAAATGAGAAACAACTGGAGGCAGGGGGATTGAAGGGGGGAATCTTATCAGCTTGCTTTTAAAAATCTATGGCCTTATGGAGAAGCAAATGTTCCCAATGCCAATAGAAATCTAAAGGACATTTGCTGCATGCTGGAGTTGATAAAGCTTCCAAGTGCTCTTCAAGGGCAGCCTCACGTACAGTATGTCACAATCAAGCCATGTATCAGCCTCTATCTTGCTTGCTTGTTCTCGGCTGCCATAGTAACTGGGAGGGAGGGGTGCATGGTATTTGGAAGAGGAAGTGTGCTGGTGGAGACATCTCAAAAAAGGGAGTTTTGTTCTCAACATCTTCTGCACATGCTGAAAGTCCATGTTTGGGTTGGTCAAGGCCAACCGTCTCTGCATACCAGCTAAATGAGGCCACCTGAAGATGTACCCTACATGACACCTTTGGGGATTGGAGATTGGATATTGGGCTGGGGTAATTGGGGGCAGGGATTTGGGTAACTTTTGATAAGTGCTGTTTTGCCTCAGATATTGCTTCACTTTTGCTGTTTTCATTACATATCCAGTAAAAGTATCTTTTCTCTAACTAACTGGAGTTAGGGGTTTCCTTTCTTGGATGTTGAATGAGACAGGCCTGACACCATGAGATAAGTAGGGCATATATGACTATATGGACCTCCTATTCCAAGAAAGGGCACAATTGGCCCTTTCCACAGATGAAGCTGTGCAAAGGTTTTCCTGGCCATAGCTGCCACTTACTCAAAAGGTAGGAGCTATGAGTATTGGAGGATCCCCTGAATTGCACACAGCTCTTGGATGGAGAATTGCTATCCTATCCAAGGTTAAAGATGGAATATCTCTAGACCTAGGCAGCTCTAATTTCCATAATCACACAGATTTGTTTGAATTGAAGTTGATTTCTTTGCATCCATAATTTGGATTGAACTTATTAATACATTTTCTCCTTTGTGATATGTATGAATTCTGAATAATATAATTGGGGTAAACATATTTTGGGTTTTTTGAATCATTTGAAAATGATTGTTTCAGGAAGATTGGTAATACATTATTTCTCTCCCTCCAGCTTCAATGCTGTGGGAAAGACAGTGACGTTCAAGTAAAACCCACCTGTCCAAAAGATATTGGATCGTCTAAAGTAAGTGCCTGTATTCTGTCATGTCATTCTGAGAGGGAAGTCAAAAATAGTCTAGGAATGGGATAAGATATGGTGGGAATATCATCCCCGGGGCCAGAAGAGATGATCTTCTGGACAGGAGCCATTTGGCACCAAAGTAGGATGCCAGCAAGATGACTTCTAAGCAATTTGTTTGCTTTGCCAATTATACACACATTCATATATCTGAAGAAGACTGCAGAATAAATCAAGCAGTATTTATTGCAGCCAACTTGCTTCTTCGGCCCTTTCAATTTGCTTGCAACCTCCTGGGATGTCAGAACTGGTCATTACCATTTCCTGGTTTCCCTAAAATGAAACATCTTAGCAAAACTTTTTTTTTAATTTACTTGTCATGCCAGTGAAACTTTCATTCCATAACAAGTAGCAGTGTGGATGAATTATCCTCATCAAGTTCATCATGCAGAAGAAAAAGTTAACATCCCCAATGTGATTGTGTATATAGTTTGTGGTGTTTTTTTTTAATAAAATAATTACATACATTCTATTGTTTGGTTAATTGGGACCATGTACAGGTAGTGCTCGACTTACAACCACAATTGAACCCAACATTTCTGTTAATAAGTGAGACAGCGGTTAAGTGAGTTTTGATCCATTTTACAATCTTTCCTGCCACAGATGTTAAGTGAATCACTGCAGCTGTTAAATTAGTAACACAGTTTTTAAGTGAATCTGGTTTCCCCATATGAGTCAGTTGCCAAGTGTCTGAATTTTGATCACATGACTATGGGGATGCTGCAAAGGTCGTAAGTGTGAAAAATGGTCAAAAATCACTTTTTCCAATGCCGTTGCAACTTCAAATGGTCACTGTTGTAAGTCAAGCACTACTTATACATGCAAGGATGCTTACATTATTCTTGCAGCTTGCTGGATTTAAAGACCTTGTTGATTCCCACACCCTTACCGAGTGGCTTCTTGAGAGGTTTAGCTTAATCTGATTTCTACTCCTGAGCCAAAATTTCCAGTTGACCAGTAAAAGCTGAGGCAAAATAGAATTATATGGCAGACCTAATCAAATGGACTTCATTTTGGTTATGTGAACTTTTATACTAGTTCAGACAAGATAAACTAGACAAACATATAGTTGACAGTCTAATTTTATTTTGTGTAAAAATAAAATTAATTTATGTGAATGTCATAGATCGTGATGGCGAACCTACGGCACTCATGACACAGGTGGCATGCAGAGCCATTTGTTAGGGCACACGAGGCGTTGCCCTGTCAGCTCCAGCGTGCATGTGCGCACTGGCCAGCTGACTTCAGCCTTCATTTTTGGCTGTTTTTCACCCTCCAGAGGCTTCCCTGAAGCCTCAGAGGGCGAAAAACAACCCAATGCGCAAACCAGAAGTTTGGGAATGGACTTCTGGTTTGCACATTGGGCCATTTTTCTCCCTCCCTCTGGAGGGCACAAAACAGCCCTACGGGCAACCCAGAAGTCCATACCTGAACTTCTGGTTTACCTGTTGGGCTGTTTTTCACCTTCCAAAGGCTTCAGGAGGGTTCCCTGAAGTCTCTGGAGGGAGGGGGAACGGCCCTACAGGCAACCTAGAAGTCCATTCCCGAACTTCCAGGTTGCTCGTAGGGCCATTTTTCACCCTCCGGACGCTTCAGGGAACCCTCCTGAAGCCTCCAGAGAGCCTCCGGGGGATGGGGGAGCATTTTCGCCCTCCCCAGAAAGCCTCTGGAACCTGGGAAGGATGAAAAACACCAAAAGTAGGGGGAGGGGAGGGTCACACACGCATGCGTATTGCACACATAGAATTATGGGTGTGGGCATGCCCGTACATGACACCCCCCCTGCGCTCCCCCCGCTTCTGGCATGTGTTGGCAAAAAGGTTAGCCATCACTGTCATAGATAATGTATGCTATATAGTTCAGTTCCTCTTCATTGATTTTCCTGCCTGCAAAAATAGCTTGTCCGTGCATGGCACCCCACTTTTTGATGCAGTGCAATTCTGTATTCCAGTATTTTGATCCATAAACTGACTCTATGGGTAGACCTGGAAGATTGCATTGTATAACTAGAGAGGCAAAAATTCAGGAAAAGAAGAGAATGAATTTGTAGGCATCTGCAGGGAATGCAAATGAGGAAGCTTGCATTTAAACAATAAGAGGTACGGCTTGCATCCTGACATTGTGAGAGTTGTTCTGCCATTCTGATAAAACCATCATATTCTGCAGATACCCATGAATACAACTATTTCAATGATTCAAGGCTGCTTTGCTGTATTGATAAGAGGAACAGCAGCAAAGTTAAACAAGAGCCATCTTGTTATAAAACTTTTTTAAAAAAAATTAAAGATTTTACAAAAGTATAAAAATAATAATAATCAGTAAGATATTTTAAAAATAAAAAATATACAAAAATATATAAATAATTATATATTATACACACACACACACACACACACACACACCTGCCACAGGTAGAGGTGATTGTTGAGAATTCATATTGGTAGGTTTAGGAAAGGATTGAAGACTTTAATGCCTTTCCTGTCTTGAACAGAACTGTCTGACTGAAATAGAGACTCTCCTTAATTCAAATCTTCATTTACTTGGCATTGTTGGGATTGCAATTGCTGGAATCACAGTAAGTAATTTTGATTGTATTGACTATCGTTGTCATCGCCATGATCAACAACAACATTGTATTTACACAAACCTGAAATCTTTCCAAGCCATTGAAATTATAGCAGATTACTAAAGAGAACAGAGAAGCACTGTAAGCATCCCTTGCATGAACCTCAGCTGGTATGCTGATTGGGGGAATTCAGGGGGATGAAGAACATCATAAAGTTGCTGAGCTTAAAAAATACTGCTCTAGAAGCTATGCAAGATGTAACATTCCTTGTCCACCGTAGTCACAATATCATCACCAAATTATGACTTGGGACAAACTATTCAACACATAGTGTCAGAGTGCCAAAATAGAACCAATAGTGAAACTGTTGATTTTCTCACTGTAACAAATGAAACAAAAAAAAAATATCTGTAATCTAAAGTGAGCTCCCATTACTTGTCCCAGCTTCTACCAACCTAGCAGTTGCAGTAGAAAAATAGGGACCAACTTTAGTGGGAAGGTAACAGTGCTCAGTACGCCTTCGGTGTTTAGTCATGCCGGCCACATGACCATGGAGACATCTTCAGACACCACTGGCTCTTCGGCTTTGAAACGGAGATGAGCACTGCCCCCTAGAGTTCAGAACGGCTAGCACCTATGTGCGAGGAGAACTTTTACCTTTAATCTAGATATACAGTATGTTTATAGTATTTTAGATCTTTTTTAATATTTTGTATTTTTACCCCTTGTGTTTTTATCACAATTTGAATGCACCATATAATAAATTAAAATATGCAGTCCTGCTCCTACTCTGTAAATAACATGTTTTAGGGGGGGGGGGAATATGGATGTTAATTGCTCCCACACAACCAAGACCAGGATCTTGGAAGTAAAAGGGATTTCTTTGAAGTTTAGTCTTCCATATTTATACCACTTCATTATTTCATGTATGTAATCATATTTATATTGTCACTCAACACTAAGTAAGTGGCTCTTGGTGGTATACAAAAAAACCTAAAAACAATATAAACGAACAAGTTTTATTATGAATAATAGCAGTAATAAAAATAACACCTTTAAAATTGTAAAAGGCGCAACACTAAGATAGATAGATAGATAGATAGATAGATAGATAGATAGATAGATAGATAGNAGATAGATAGATAGATAGATAGATAGATAGATAGATAGATAGATAGATAGATAGATAGATAGATAGATAGATAGATAGATGATAGACAGACAGACAGACAGACAGACTGACTGACTGACTGACTGACTGACTGACTTTATCTATCTAGGTAGGTTCTGGGATAGGGATGTTAGATCAGGCATTAAAGCAAAATCCCTAGTAGCACTGGTGATGTTACCTAGTTTGGTAATAAATGTCTGCAACAAAACAACCAAGCTTACAGAGCAACAAGAACCCACAGAGTTTTATTTGCCAGTCAGAATAATTCATATGAGCCTGGCTGGGAACATAACAGTAATAAAATAGAATCAAGTAGATACCTGGAGATTTGTTTTCTTTTTCCTGAAAAGTAAGGAGAAAACAACTTTACAAAATACTTGATGTCATACTGTGATCTTGAAGTATCCAAAATGTCTAGTGAGCAGAGAACCAATCCAAAGAACAATCACTCAAATTCTCTGAAGCCTTGCTGATATGTGGCAAATGTTGCATCCTTTAAAATAATGTTCTCATTTTTCAGATCTTTGGCATGATCTTCAGCATGGTCCTTTGTTGTGCAATCCGAAACACAAGAGACATGCTTTAGAACACTTCCTGTGTCACTTTATTTTGAACCCAGGACTGAAGGAAAAGCTGCAACACAGTTCTGAAGAAGTGCTTGCCCACTCAACTTAACAACTGTAATCCATTTTTTTTAATTAGGTGTTAATCAACTGACACAAAAGGGGAGTATTTGTCAAGTTCAAGAGTTTCCTGTGACTGCATTTAAATTTTTAAAACAATTATGACATGAGCAAGTAAGATAGGCTAACAATGCATTTTCAAGGCCAACAGTGACATCTAAAACTAAAATTTATTTGAAGTATGACTTTGCACAGAAATGGAGGAATAGGCCCTGTATGTATGTGTGCTTGTTTTGGTGCAGACGCACTTATAGCTGTATATACAGTCTCTTTGATTGTATGTATGTTTTGTGAGTGTCTCTATCTGCATGCATATTTCTGCATTATATGTATTATGCATGCACATGTGTGTATACAAACATACACACACACACAGACACTTGGGTACATTTCTTGATAAAAAGTTTTTCACAATGGAGTCCTCTTTACTAATCATTTTTGGAGAAGCAGATGCCTGTAGAAAAATGAGTACTGTCCTATTTTCTTTCACTCTTTGGAATGTCCCATTTAAGATAATGTCAGGTGGGAAAGATCAGGACCACATGTGAAGTTGCAGTTAAAGTTATTTATTAGCATTCTTGCCTATGCACAGGAATCTACACAACTTATAATTAGCACTGCTCTTGCCTTAGATAAGAATAGTCAAAAGTTCAAAAGGGTTACACTTAGTCTAATTGTGGGTACGTAAAGATTCTAGGCTGATTCCTCTTTTGACTCTGCCCCTGGGTTTTGCCTCTGGATAACTATATTTAAAGAAATGTGTTTTGCTTCTAAATAGCTCTCCCCTTGGAAGATTGTGTGTGTCTGTGTGTGTGTGATTTATATATTTATATACAGAATTATTTATATGATAGAGATTGATGGGGAACTCACTGGCCTTTTTAAAGAAAAGCAGAACAAAACCCAAGAGTTGGTACCAAACAAGCAGAGAGCAGTTAAAGCTTTAAGTTCAAAAAAAACTTTCATTGCGACTGAGACATCCTGTCCAGTCATGATTTTATGTAGCATCTATTAAAAACATGTCTAGGTACCTCAATGAGGAACTTAATTTCACTCAAGAAACTGTTCCTTCCTTGGTTTTCCCCCCCAAAAATTACATTTAGTATTTATTGTCCTAATTATTTTTAATATGAACAAAAAAACCTTATTGTAGCATAATCTAAAATTGATGTCCAAATTATTTTACTCAGTTACTATGATGATTACTCAGTCCCTAATGCACACCATATCCCAATGGCCATTTCATGCCGTAATATATCACTTAAAGTATGTTGATACAAAATCAATTCTGCCCATTGAGACTTGCTCTTTCATTAGTGCCCTTAGAAATGAAGCTTAGTTACTTGCTGCATAATAACCATAATGCTTGTCTGCAAGCTTTTATTTGTTATAACAGTTGCATGCTGGCTTTACACAATAGGGAACATACCTAATATACAAATAATATTCATCATTATTTTCATGCTCCAGTCAAAGTGAACCATGTACTTTCATTCAAATCAATCCTTCTCAAGCTTGGGTAAAAATTAACTCAATTGGTGTAATGCGTATTTGTGTGTTTAAAAGAAATGTTCTTAAAATAACATGTCCATGCACAAAATATGCAAGGCAGCTGTGTGGCATTTTGAAGCTCAAAGAAAACTTCAAAAGCATGAGACAACAATCAGAACAGGATTATGTGTATAGGAGAATACAGTCTCTTCAGTCCCCCAACAAATGTTCAGCATTACATTTAAAAATAAGGAGGAGGAGCTGTTATTAATGATATCAAGAACAATAACATTAATGGCGACAGTCATGCAACCATCCCAGGCATAGAGTTCATACCAGGCTTCATACCAGTTGTTTGAACTGTGGGCACTAATATATTTGGGAAGAAGCAAAAAAGCTTATATTGAAAGGCAAGAAACGCTATGTCAGAAGTTGTGTTCAGCTGGTTCTCTTCGGTTCGGGTGAACTGGTAGTGGCGACTGTGGGAGGCTCCACCCACTTGCCCCAACACAATGAATGAGCACTGTACACGCATAGAAGGTGGTGCGCATGCGTAGACGAGGCACGTGTGAGCAAAGAGAGCATTTGCATGAGCGTACATTTGCGATTTAGTATGGAAGGTAAGTTAATTCCACCTCTGCTCTACGTGTTTAAAGTTGCCCTACATCCTGTACCCAAGAAATTGATATCAGATAAATTAACCTTCAGATTTCAATCTTTTGCTTTATCTATGTTCTCAGACTGCTCAGTCTGTGCATCCAATTAATGCTCAAAGAAAAGCTATTTGTTCCTGCCAGAAATGTGTATAGCACATACCGAAACCCAAGGTCATAAAATTAAAGGCCTGTCTTTGGTGTTCTGGCTATAGAACTAAAACATTGAGAGGTAAGCAGTTCTACTTTAATACTGTTTTTATTATCTCGAAAAATCTAATTACTGCATGTTATTTTAACAACATCAAACTTTTATCTAGTGATGCCATGGCTATTTAAAACTGGATAAATGTAGAAATGATATAATACTCTTAAAATATCTCAGGGCCAAGTTTACAAATTATAACAGGTTTATATTTATTTCTACTAAATTACATTAAAAATAATTTTGGAAAGTTAAGCTAGACAGAGGAAAATCATTGTGATGCAGTCTTAATATACTGTATTACAATCAATGTGGTCCTACCAGTGACTTAAATGGAAAATGCATTGTGGAAACTTTTAAATGGTCCTTTCCTGACAAGCTATAATTTTAGGAATCAGAACTCAAGCAATAATTCAGTCTCTCTTTTTATTCAGTTGTTTAATTTCCTTTTAAATAATTATTTAATTTCCTTTTAAATAGATAGGCCATTTGAAACAATGTGTTAAGAAATTTTCAGCTGTTAACAAAACACCGTCTTAATTGTATTATATGTTTCATGCACATTTTTCATCAAAACACATCAAAGCATATACTGTATTATTTCAGGGGAAGCGTTTTTACTGAGGTCTTCATTTGAAATTCAGTGTGCTGAGAACTCTACTTAGGTGTCAGGAAGGGCATCCGGCCAGTAAATGCTCAGCTCCATCCAATCACCCAACTCTACCCTGAATTAAGGGATCACAGGGTTGTAAAAAGAGAATTACTCAAGTGTGTGTGTATGTATGTATGTATGTATGTCAAAAAAAGAAAGGGACAAGTGCCCCAAGTTGTGTGAATTGTTCCCTGCTTTCCCTCAATCTTTCCCCCATCTGTCCAACAAATTTCAATTAACTCTACTGCTTGGCCCAGATAAGTTATTTGGACCAATTAGAAAATAACTCAAGTGATAGGGATGTACCTAAGGAAAGGTATCAAATGCCTAATTCACCAACTGCCATTAAGACCAATTGGATGCTGGCAGCTCCTGAGGTCCAGGTGAGGGTCTCTTAATGGAGAAGACATTACTAGAGATCTGAGTAGCTAAATGGACTGTCTGGTTATTTAGGAAGCTGTTTCACCAGTTCTGCAAGCAGTTCTTACCAGGAATTTGCAGTTTAACAGAAACAGAAATAAATATGTAACAATTTTTAACTTTAAAAATGTCTTTGGTATGAGTTATCATAAAATTAAGACTGTGGAATCAATTTCTGCTAACTTTTTGATTTTAAAATGATTTCTTGAAAATGGAAGGACTTAAAATGGAACTTGCTTTAGTGATTTCCCCATAAAATTAGGTGTTTTTTTAAATACAGGTAGTCCTAGTCTTACAGCAGTTCACTTAGTGGCCATCCGAAGTTACAACAACATTGAAAAAAGTGACTTATGATCATTTTTCATACTTAAGACTGCTGTAGCATCCCCATGATCATGTGGTGGCAATTGTCTCACGTTTGTGACAGTAGCGGCCCGGGGTCATGTGATTTTTGTCGCCTTCTGACAAGCAAAGGGAAACCAGATTTACTTAACAACCATGTTACTAACTTAACAAGTGCAGTGATTCACTTAACTATGGCAAGAAGGGTCATAAAATGGGGCAAATTCACTTTAAAAATGTTTCACTTAGCAACAGTAACACTGGGCTCAACTATGGTCATAAGTCAGGGACTACCTGTAAAATGTCCTTAAGAATAGACCATCTCTTCTATTATTATGCCGGCCATTCTCAAATGAGACCAGAATCAATCTAAACATGGAAACAGGATGTGAAAACATATGAAAAATCAGTAATTTCTGAGTCTCTGTAGAACTCACCCTGTCCTACAATTCTCAGCTCTGCTTTGTTCCTGCCTTTTCTGTTTGTCATCCTATGTTTCATTCAGACTGAGGTCTCATTCAGCCAAATCACACATCAGCATATGTCAATGTTGTTGCACTACTTTCCCATTCTATGTTCCAGCTTTCAGAAATCTTTGGGAAGTTGCTTCATGTCAGTCCATGTAACTGGTACGCATAAGTTTGGGGAATTCTTTGGGAAAGACTTTGAGAAATCTTCTGTGTTCCAAATGTTCCACATCAGGAGGAGAACACAAATTCTATTTAATCTGTGCTCCTGTTTTTCATTTTTATTGCTTTTCTCTTCTCATTTGGGTTTTAGAAGAGATGGGTGAGCTGTTGCTGTAAATACAGATGAGAAGAGAACCCTGTTTTATTGTGGTAGTTAGCACATCAGTGCTAGTGATGGCACTGATGATGTTACCTAGTTCAGATAATGAAATGTATGCAAGAAAACAACCAAGCTCAGAGAACACCAAGGATCCCTCATGTGAAACCTGAACTATAAATATTCTCCTTTATTATGCTGGGAAAGTACACCAACTACCTGTACTAGCCCAAAAATAGTAATATTGAACAAGTACCAGGTAATAAATAGTTCCAAATTGTCTCCTGGGGACCATTTGTGATTTTTATGAAATGACTGTCTTTTGTAGACCTTAGACCTCCCTACTGAACAATGCTGATAAATAAGCTGTGGCTTAAACACCAGGATGGGAAGGCAGGGAGGGGAATATGATAGCTATGAAGATGGATTGGAAAACACATGCACTGGCTGGTAATGGAAAAAACAGCAGCAGAGACCTTCCGCTATACATACATGCCATTGCTTTTTAAAAAGAAAAAATATATTGGAGTGTTGGCAAATTTTGTTGTTGCACTCATGTGATTGAAGAAACCAGTCTTGCTTCCCAAATGTTATCCATTATTGCTTGGCTGCTTTTTTATCTTTAAGTGCCTTTTGAGGAACAGGACAGAATACCAAGTCTATAAATAGAATTTTGAAATTAAAATCAAACATGAAGTTTATTGAAGTGAGTTCCCATCTACTTGCTTGTATCACACTGTCCCTATTTTTATGGGCATAATTGTTAGCACTTGTCTTAAGATCACCTATTCCTAAAAAATAATGAAAGACTATGTGCTTGACATGCAAGTCAGAATTAAATAAATTCTTTATGTGTCAAAAAAAATCTTACCAGTGCCTTTAAAAACATCATGGCTCTATTCTCCTGATCTTACAATTTCCAGTGTCATTTTGGTGGGGGAGTCCCTTACGTGGAATTACATCTCCAAAATATATCTTGAATGTTGGGAAGGATTAATTTTTGGGCTACATTTTTTTCTATGGCATGTAAATTATGTATCTATGCTATTAGCACTTAAATTTTCTTAGTAATTTCATTGAGAGGACCAAGTCAGACATGCTAAGAATGACCCAAACCATGAGAACTAGCCCACAGCTTCTTTTCCAGGTTTATGTGATACACTATAAGATATTCCTGATAATTCACTACTGGGGTACATG